ATCATGACTGAGAAAATCCTGCACAAGTAGGCCACTTTTAGTTGACCTTTTTCTTTACTGCGTACGCCGGTGAACCGCAGTGAGGTACCGAAAGCCAGCAAGATAGATTGTTGTAGACAAAATTGTCTCGATAAATTTTGTGGCTTTGGAAAAAAATCAATCTACTTGAAGTTATAGCGATTTGAAAAAAATTTTCGCAAGTGCCCGGGAACTTTCTTGTAATGCTTCGTGGACAAGCAGCGAAAGAATGAAGAAATCGTTCGGGACGACCAGCAGATCTGCTGAAAGGGCGTGGAGCTTGTTGCCAACTAGCCAATCACAGCTCCACTGGGTGTAAGAGAGACAACTACGCACCCTTACGACGCGATTGGTTGATTGGCACCACATGCACGCCCGTTGCTCCGCCAGAAATAGCCATTTTCGTTATTTTCAGGCAATTAACAATCGAAGATTAGTGTACTTACGAGGAGGAAAAGTGTTGAAGCTTAACATAAAAGTTTGGTAGAACAAATTTTGAACTAAGGAATTTGTATTAATGAGCCTCATCGCTTCAAGGTAGCTCTAACAGAAATATATCTACAGTTACAAAATGGCATTATGAGGAGGTTTTTTATGTCCATAGGAAAGTGGGGAGGACCTAGACAATAACAACTTTGTAGAAAATTATCAATAATAATTGACTCAGTGAGATTTTCTTTAGTACTTGACATACCTTGAGTGTTAGGTGAAATAAGCAAAAACTTCAACTTAGCTCGGCGTGCAAATCACAATTCGCGATACCACAGAAGATCGAGTAGCGACTTGATGAAAATATGTAAATTTTTGCTTTTGGAAACCTTCTTTATTTACGACAGCGTTTTTTCTACAAGACTCCTATTTCTGGAAGGAAGTGGAACGAGCTAAACAGCAGATTCGTTACAAATGTCAAAGGTACCAAAACTTTTCTTCACCAAAAGTACGAAAAAAAACGGGCAAAGCACGAAAAAAAAATGTTTCAAGCACACTCGCTCTCGCGCGTGCTGATGTGAGGACATAGTCATCGTCCATTCATCTTTTGTTTTTGAAATGTGTCCGAGATGGAATCTAGCGACATGGAAAAAGTGATATTTATAGCAAAAGGGTAAATAAACTTCGGAAATGATTTCCTTTTTCCATGCCATACCAATTTCTGAAAAAAAAAACAAAGCAAAACAACTGGGTTATGACCTTTGATCTAGTACAGCGGCCCTTTAAATTTACATTTTTTAATAAACAATTTTGGAAGCAAAGTGAAACATTAACATAGGAAAAATCATAGCGGCGGCTAAAGCAGTTTGCTAATACGAACAAATATCAGAGTTTGCCTGAAAGTGCATCCCTCGCGATCGCTCACTATCGCAACAAGACACATGACAAATGATTGTACAGCAGAAGAAGACTGTTTATGAATTGCAAAGTAAGCAGTGGCGGTCATAGTTATCTTCGGGGGCAGGAGGACGAATTTTTTTGAATGATAACGTGAAATTCGCATGTTCTTAAAGGAGTTTTTGAGATGGTTTGCCGACCTCAGCTGCTTGCCCTAGCTTTGTAATTTATGTTTTTCTCAGCCAATAATCAAGACTACTAACACTCTTTACTAGTCAGGCTAAAGTTTTTGTTCTGTCATTCTCGTTGGAGCCTAAAAGGTCGTAATCATTAGCGTTTGTCTCCCGAACAGCATGTCTAAGCCAAGATTACATTTAGCAAGATGGTACTTCCGAGTCGTTAATAATCGCCTCGGAAGTACCACCAAATCCAGAGTCTGCACAGTGATAGAGACTATCACTGTAGTCGAATCCGCAAGGGACTATATGGAGGAATCATTGTTTATGCTTCCTCCTTGCCTCCATCGCAGAAGCTTTATACAGGGTGTCCCAAAAGTAAGTACACACTTTTCAATCGCCAATATCTCTCTTCCCAATGGGTCTTTTTCGCCAGTCAACTACCATTCTGTAGAGGAGGCTTCAACTTTGACTTTCAATACCGATCGAATCATGATCGCTCTTCGTTACTGTAGGATTACGGTAAGAACTTCCAGCATGTGGAACCACTGTGAAATATGCCGTCTGACAAAATTTTCTTCAAAAAATCTGATATATCATGTACTAGGGTTTTCGCGCACGCTAATTCACTTACATAACTTTTTACGAGTGTTTTCAGCTTTTTTGACGGTGTTATCACATTTCTGACAAATACTGGGAATTCGGTTATTACGCTTTAACTGGAATAACTTTGGAAAGAAGCAAGACAGTAAAGCAGAAATCTCATATTCGAAATCGGCTGCTTCCATAACAGTGATATAAGAGTTTTTGGCTTGTTTGGTTTTGATCTGAGGCAGAACATGGCTTCCAATGGGCTAAAATCTTCGTCGAGGTTCCTACAGCAATCCTACAGTAACGAGAAGCGATCGGTGACTTGCTCGATACTATGAATCTAAGCTGAAGCCTCCTCTACAGAATGGTACTTGAATGGCAGAAAAAGACGCAACGGGAAGGGAGATATTAACGATTGAAAAGTGTGTACTTACTTTTGGGACACCCTGTATTATCCTGACTGTGCGCCTAGGGCAGTATTGGATCTAAAATTTGACCGTGCGATGCTCCTCAATTCTCATACACAGTGGTCTGCCGGTCTCTCTTAATTATTGTTGTTCACAAATTTGGCAAGTTAATTGATAACGAAAGGTATTGCCAGTGATTATCAGTATAAAATTCGCTAATTCTTGTCAAGTTTTTTCCTCAAGACTAGGAGCACGTAGTCTTATCTTCGAAATTTTTTCGAGACAAAATTTTGTAATTTATGAAATAAATGATTTATTAGAACTCCCAGCAAAAGTGCTTGGTTCTAAGAAGCTGAATTTGTTCCAAACAGAGGAGGCAATCTTGCTAATCTTAGACAGGTTAGGGCTGCGAAGTTCATGGCCATCCCTACATAAATCATCCCTGCGGGAAGAGTCAAAATAGAAAATCTTGACATTCATGAGTTTTTATTGTGTTGGCGTACAACACATTCAGAAGCGAAAAATAAGAAGAAAACCAGGGTTAAGCTATTAAACTTTGTGATAACGTTGAACACTGTTATCAGCAAATTGTTGCCACTGATATTTATTTATTTATTTATTTCAATGCACTCAAAGGTGCGCCATAAAAATAACAGGAAATGCAAATAGAGTTGTTTAACCGGCCACACACAAAGTAGATAAAATAGCAGAAGGCCTAGACGTATGTATGTATGTATGTATGTATGTGTGCATGAAGTAATTTCACCTCACATGCATAGATTCAATACTCCTCAAACTCTCCGGATGATTTCACGGATAAGCAGAAATAGAGGGTGTGTGGTCGGCCAGTGGTCCAATGGTTAGTAACAAAAAACCAAAAGAAAAAAAAAACTCATAGACTAATCCAATGTTAGTACTGCCATCATCAAAAAAAAATATAACGCTCAGTCATAAGTGTCGTGTTTGAAGGCGACAGACGAGCAAAACGCAGTGATTCCTAGAAAAGAAACGAAAAAAGCAAAAACAGTTTCAGTAGTTATGAAAATTCTTAACTTGCAACAGATCGACTTGCGCTATTCTACTTTTGAAGGTAGCTGAATTTCCAGATAACAGTGCAGTATTTGGCAATCTACCGAGCCACCTAGGTGTTCTGTAAAATAGAGTATTAAAAGTTCGTAGAAAACGTTTCCTGTAAATACGTGGATAGTGTATATTGAACCCACCCATCCTATTACTAGGCCTGAAAATCCAGTACTTACTTGCAGGTAAGTCTGATTTCTTTACGAAAAAGACGAAAAGCGAAAATGAGGTCTAGATATGTCCTTCTAGACTCCAAGCTTTTCATTGCCAAGGACTTGAGGCGGTCTTGATAAGTGGGCATTTCATCAAAATCTAATGTTCTGCGACATCTTAGGAATAGAATGCGAGTAAATGTTTTTTGGACTTTTTCCAGTTTTAGGATGTCTTTCTTTGCAAAAGGATTCCATATAACTGAACAGTATTCGAGGTGCGGAAGTACGTACGCTGTGTAAAGACGTTTCAGTAGTACGGGATTTTCAGTATGAACAGATCGAAGAATTTTAAATAAAATTGAGTACGCACTGTTTACCACATTATCAATGTGATGCGAAAACTTCAAATCACCATCTATCAAGACCCCCAAGTCCTCAGCAGTGGAGCAATTTCTCAAGACAGTCCCCTTTATCTCATATGCAGAATTTGGATCATCACCTAAATGCATCACAAAACATTTATTCAGGTTGACTGGGATGCCAAAGCATGATGCCCAGTCTACCAATCTTTTCAAAGATTCCTTTATTGCAGACTGAACTTCACCGCGATTTAACCCGCTGTATCTCCCGTATATCTTGATATCATCCGCATACATCTGAATTGTTATATGCTCTGATGTTTTCAAGATCAACGGGAGATCGGCAGTATAAATTAGAAAAAGTAACGGAGAAAGGACCGCGCCTTGCGGAACCCCACTAACACAGGCCTGTCTATCCGAAAACTGATGCTCTACCTTCACAGTCATCCCTCTGTTGCTCAGATATGACTTAAACCAATTTAATAAATTACCATTGATCCCAATTCGTTCGAGCTTGCATAAAAGCTTTTCATGATCAACACGATCAAATGCTTTCGAAAGATCCACGTAAACAACATCTACTGATTCCCCTCTATTCAGCGCCAGAGTCCAGTTAAAAACTGAGTCGGCAAGGTTCGTAGCAGTGGAAGATCCTGGCATGAACCCATGCTGATTAGGGGGGACAGTTTTGGATTTTTCAAGCCACGCTAGTAGTTTATCCCGCAGTCCTTTCTCCATAACTTTCACAGCTGTGGGAGTCAAACTGATGGGGCGGAAATCCGTGATTTCTTGTCAACATTCGTAATCCATTTGTGCCAAAACAAAGATTTGTAAGATAGCAATCATTTACGAACTGCTAGTGGTTGCACACAGTCGAAAAACTAAACGCGAATGCTGACGCGAATATTTCACTTCAAGTAATCCCATATTCTTACCCAAATGTTTATCGAAAAAAAAAAACGTAGCTTCTTTAGGTTTCGAAACACATATACGAGAATGGAAACCAAGATTAAAAGATTTCTATACTTTATTGTAACCATATTGATTCCCAGTACTCTATGGGTCTTCTGCGGACGGAAGCGCAGCAATCATTCTCCAATTGCAAATACGCAAAAGGTAGAGTCTAATGTGAATTAAAATTGCAAAAAGAGCAGAAATTGCTGATATATTTTTGGATAGTTCGTCATAGGCCCCGGGCAGACTTCACGCGATTTGATCGTCGCGACTGAATCGCCAGGAGACAACTGTTACAACATCATTCCATGCCGATCAACTTGCATTCGGTTGTGATACTTTTCCAGCCCGAAATTTTTGAATGTGAAATGAAAATAAATGTAAATCTTGGCGATTAGATCAAGACGATTAAGTCGCGTGAAGTCTGTCCGGGGCCACAGGCCTCGGGCAGAGTTCACGCGATTTGATCGTCGCGATCCAATCGCTACAAGACAAGTGTTACGAGTTCATTGCATGCAGATCTTCTTGTATCTCGGTTGTGATAGTTAGTCACGGCTAGCCATGTAGGAAAACTATCACAACCGAAATGCAAGAAGATCGGCATACAATGACATTGCTACAGTTGGCTTGTCGCGATCAATCGCGGCGATCAACTCGCGTGAACTCTGCTCGAGGCCATACGGAGTAAGCTTGAAAAATATCTTTTAAGAACTGCAAGAATGACAAACGTTGAAGATTCACATTATTGCAGAATAAAAAATCGAGTATTCCGTCTTCGACGCCGGCAGAAACCAAGTCCAGCAAAAGCAGTAAAAAGAAGAAAAGGAAGTCACTGTGAGCCTCAGTTTCTTATTGTGATGTTCAGCACCTTAGGTAAAACGTGAAGAAGCACCAAAACCAAATTTGTGATATAAGTGAGCTCCGCATTTGCGACTGATTATACAGTGCTGGCCAAAATTATAGGTCCACTCTAAGGCCCGTATGCACGTACATCCCCGCTGGGGAGGGGAGGGGATCTGAGAGGGGATGCGTCATATCTCGCTACTTTACGTATCTTTCTTCTTCCTTTTCTATCTTGCTTATAAAGGTTCTCATACCCTACTACCTGCGCATAATCGATGCCAGGTTACAGGCATAACTGATTAGATTTGTACCATTTTGTGTGTGATCCCCTGGGGATCCCCAGGGGATCACACAAAATAGTACAAATCTAATCAGTTATGCCAGTAACCGGGCATCAATTATGCGCAGGTAGTAGGGTATGAGAACCTTCATAAGCAAGATAGAAAAGGAAGAAGAAAGATACGTAAAGTAACAAGATATGGCGCATCCCCTCTCAGATCCCCTCCCCTCCCCAGCGGGGATGTACGTGCATACGGGCCTAAAAAATGCCATAACTCACTCTGTTGTGAATGAAATTTTCAAAATTTGGTACAGACGTGTGTTTACCAGCCTACTATCAGTCTTCAAAACGGTTCTCGTTTTTTGTCTGATTATTCAAGAAAAAATTAGAAATTTTGAAAAAAGCAGGCTTGAAGGCTGGGCAAAATTATAGGCCCACCTGGAGTTTTTACTGATTGCACTTCTTAGCTCCCGAATTTTTTTAGGTAGGCACAAATCCAGAAACGTGAAACAGCTGCATTGGTCAAGCTGTGTCATACCTCCAAAAAGAACTGATTATCTGCTTTTTTGCCTTGAAGATGCACTCACATGTATTTCGCTCCACAAACCTGCGTTGAGTAAGAAATCCTGCAGTTTCTCAGCTGGATCGGAAGGGAAGGAGTTTCATCTATATTCTGGATGCTTTTTGACGTGAGCATTGAGGAAAAAATCCGACTTTTTGCTGCTGAAGCAAATCTGACATCGGCTTAATCGGCAGAGTAAGCCCCAGTTTCTGCCCTAAAACCCTTTATGCATTGTCATTATAACCTCAAGATATTGTAGAAGCATTTTTTGCACAAGAATAAAGCTGTTCGCCATACTCGCAAGTGTCCACAAAGCTGCCTTGCTTCTTTTTCGATACATGAGTTGTGTGTGCAACGTAATAATGGTGTTACGCGATCCAAAATGGCTTTCCAAGTGCTACCTCATTTAGATTTTTGACAGTAATTATTTACTAGATAGTGGATACAGCTTGTAGTGTATGTTAGCACATGATTCTTCTGGAAATTTTGGTCGGAGCCACAAGTAGCTTTGGTGCTCGTCGTAATCAGTTTCTGCAGAGTGATTTCAGTAATTATACTCGAATGCTAGGATCTCTAGAAAGTTGTATAGTTGAAAGTTGAAGCTATGGTATACGCACTCCCCTATATAGAAACAATGCCTTTACTTTACTCAATGCTTCTGAGAACATTGTAAAAGAAGTTTGAAGGCAGAAATTTGAGTTCAGGATTGCACTACTGTCAATGTCAGACTTGCTTCAGCAGCAAAAAGTCGGATTTTTTCCTCAATGCTCACGTCAAAAAGCATCCAGAAGATGGATGAAACTCCATCCCTTCCGATCCAACTGAGAAACTGCAAAATTTCTTACTCAACGCAGGTTTGTGGAGCGAAATATATGTGAGAGCATCTTCAAGGCAAAAAAGCAGATAATCCGTCCTTTGTGGAGGTATGATACAGCTTGACTAAAGCAGCTGTTTAACGTTTTTAGATGTGTGCTTACCTAAAAAAATTCGGGAGCTAAGAAGTGCTTTGATCAGTAAAAACTCTAGGTGGACCTATAATATTGGCTAGCCTTCAAGCATGCTTTTTTCAACATTTCTAATTTTTTCTTGAGTAATCAAACGAAAACGAAGACCATTTTTCAGACTGATAGTAGGTTGGTAAACACACGTCTGTACCAAATTTTGTAAAATTTCATTCACAACAGAGTGAGTTAGGCATTTTTTAGAGTGGACCTATAATTTTGGCCAGCACTGTATAAGCCCATAAAGAGAGGCGAATGTGTGGAAAAAGGAAGACATGCGCTTATCTTCATACTTCAAGATCGGCATGATTTTATACAGAATCACTTGACGCTGTGAATCAGGCATGACCGGCTCAACAAAAAATTTCCTTGCAAAGCTTGTGAGAAGTGGTGCTTCTACTGACAATCTATTTCGGCTTCTTTTTTTCCCCGACATGCTCCAGACTCCGTCACCTGACCAACAAGCTGCGCCACAAGGGTTCCGGTAACAATATTAATCCACCTGCTTGCAGGCGAATCGGCACAAAAAATAGACTATGGAGCCAGCCCTACGAGGTCGAAAACCAATGTGTGCAAATTTTAGTTCATCAGTCCACTTAGAAAGGAATCTATAAAAACACTCAGTCACGGGAGACGGTCTTTCCGCGTGGACGTTCTCAAGCGCCACCCTGATTTTAACTTGTCTGAACACGTCACGCACGTCGCAAACCTTTCCTCCCCTTGCTTTGCTTAGGGAAGCCGCCGCAGGATGTGTCGCGCGCGGCGGTGGTCCTGTGTGAGAAGCATAACGGTGGTGCGAATCGCCCTACATCCATAGTCACTTATAGACTTTTTACTTCATGCACCTATATGAGGTGGTGTAGGTTACGGTTTTAAAACGAGTTAACAGAACCTTCCTTGAGTCACACAAATGTACATAAAAGTAGCTGATGCGATAGGTGATCTTTTCAAATAACTTGAGGTTTGTAGGATTTGGATAAAATTCGACTTTGGGGTACTTAAAAATTTTCGGATTTCTTCCAACCTTACCTTGTATCAGACTTTCCCAAAGTTCCCGTGCAACGCTTCCTGCGATTGTTCAAACAACTTTTGTAGAGCTAACTATGTTCTATTGAATGATTTTTTTTACATTTTTGTGTCTTTTCACAGAGCCAGTGCGATAAGCAAACGTGATAAATGCTCATTACTTCTGCATCAACCTAACAATATCAGTTTCGATTTTTCCCCAACTTTGCATCTAACTTGTCTCTTGAATATAGCAGTAACTTCCGTGTACCACTGACAACTTGGCTGCCCCAGTATTTTTCAGTTGACAGAATTTACTAAACATACTAAGGCAATGCAGTAGACATGAGATTCGAGGCGAAGAGTATCTCGAGCATAGTGGTAGGTTTGCCAGCAATGGTTTGGATAAGTAGTTAGTGAGAAGATTAACAGCGAGATTTTGCAGTTTTAATTCCCATTAGAGGAAAGGTAAACTGATACGACGCGCGGTGAAAAGTTGTCTCATTGTCAGTACAAATACATCAGTACATTTGTATTAGTCGTGCTCTCGGAACGCTCACAGTGCAGCCGCAGACACTGCCAATCCGTGCGGACGATTAATAGAGATATAGTCGTCCTCACCTCACTAGTCGGTCGCTGGACGAATTCGAATTCGAACAGTAGCCGGCAGATCGCGGCAGAGCACGGCATCTCAGCTCTCCGTTCAAATTCACGCATTTACTTTGCGTTTTTCTTCGCCATTTCTTGAAAGTTTCTGTATAGTTACAAACTTTTTGACCTATATTGAGTTTTTGTAACTGCTGAGCGTTCTCCTGCCTCTATGCTCGTATTTTGTTGAGTGAGCTTTTGGAAACGATGCAGATGGCAAATTTGGAGCATATGATCCACTGGAGCAACACTTCTGCATATGCTACCTACATAGAAAGGGCTTACAGTACAAATTTACCATCTGCATCTTTCTGGCTTACCTGCTTTCAGAGTTGAAGAAACGAGCTTAGCAAAACGAAACAACTTTCACAACAACAAAATTGTAACTTTCTACAAACATACTTGTAATATAGAGACTAGCAAGTAACGACCAATAAAAACCATAAAAAAACACGCAAAATCTTAGCGCTCTGCCGCGACAGGCCTGCTTCAGTTCAAATTTGAATTCTTCCACCGACCGACGGGTGGAGGACATTAGGTCGCCGAATTTGGAAGAGTCCTGCGCGGATTCCCTGCAGGAACGCATGTCCGCGCATGTACAAGGATGCGTATTTGTCGCAAATGACCGCGGGGACCGCCCTTTTTCGGCGACCTAATGTCCTCCACCCCCGACCGACTAGTGGGGTGAGGACGACTATAGATAGATTGAAATACTTTTAGTATACTGGATCCTACCCAGCACTCGGACAAGGCAATTGTTAAAACGTGTTCTGTGAGTATGTTTACTTGCCTTTAGTTGTCAGCAATACGAAGCATAGTTAGTTTGAGCAGTTGTTTGAAACCAGAATGGCTCATTATGACAATTATAGCAGACCTAGCCTCTGATTCAACTGGCTCGGCTGCTGGAAGGCGGGGCTTCGTGACCTAATTAAGGCTGGGAACGATCGAGCTCGAGCGCGGGAGAGACGCAAACTGCGTCGCGGGCGCGAGCGGCCTTAACTAGGTCATAAAGCCCGCCTTTCAGCAGCCAAGCCAGTTGAATCAAAGGTTACATATGCGATCAAGGATGAAGCAAAGGCTGGAGTTTTCAGATTATTTGCTCTTTTCATTCACCACCTCCACGTGCGGAAGCGGAAAGGTCGAGAATGGTTTGTTTTCTTTTTTGAAGATCTTAGTACAATACCGCTCACATTTTTTGAAAAATAGACGCGAATGTAAGCAGACTCACGCGACGGTCGCGTGAGTCGGGCGACGGTCGCATGAGTTATGTGACCTAATGTATGGACATCACCGTCGGGTAGCCATATCTCGCTTCAGAGCTGACGAATTCTAAATCCAGCCACCATTCGATTTAGCTCGGAGCGGAGCATCTTCTGATGCATTGGAAGCGGGGGTAGATGTTTTCGATATTCCGTTTCCAGTTTTTCCAAATTCTTCTGCGGGGGTCTTTTTGCGAAGATGTGAAGAAGCGCCTATCCCACAGGAAGATTCCGCTAGGTACTATTCGATGTTACTGTTCTTCTGGATTATCGGTGCAATAAAAAATAGCCTCAGACTTCTTTCCAAAAGAGAGAAAGAGAGAGGCATTGATGAATTATGGAAATATTACGAGTTTCTAAATTGTGCTCATAACTTCCTTCGGAATCAGTATATTTTGAATCCGAAAAAATCGCCGTGCTCAGCTCATCAAGGCGAATCTTTCGATAAACAGCACGTTCTGGATATTCCAATTTTAAAATTCTTGGATCTTTCTGCGCATGTCTCTCCGCAAATGTAAGAAGCAGCGCGCAGTGCCCCTAATAGATTCCGGCAAAGACTGTTCGACAGCACTTTTTTGTGGATTATGGAGCGCCAAAAAGCAGCCGCAGACTTCTTTCCAAAGGAGATAGAAGAGCTGGTGATTTGTGGAAAAACCTTGTCGTCTCATATGCTACTCGCCATAGCCTCAGAATATGAAGCTATCTTGCTAAGCGGATGTGAGTTTCGTAATCAGCAGGTCAGATAACCTCTATGTGCGAGTTTTCAAAGAACTGCGAGTTGTTTGAGTTTTTCTCGTCTCACGCTCTTGGAAGCTCGCCGATGGATTTTAGCCAAAATGTTGACGATCTTGGATTGTACGGAAACTTCGCTTATAGAGGTTTTCGGACACGCTGTTTATGTAAATCGCGGTCTCTGTCGAGCACAGGGTCTTTTTGCAGAGATATGTTGAGGGACTAAAACTGACTCGCGAATCTCAAATTCGCCTGCAACTCTCGCGTATCTGTCAGAAAACTTGCCTGCTTGCGTTTGTAAATTGAAGTAACTAGGGACTGTGCTTTCGAATGGTGGATGTCTCAGGTTCCATTCCCTAATAATTCCCTAATGCCGAGTTAGCCTACGTAAACACGCTCTCATGAATTTTGCCCAAAATGTAAAAATCACATACTTCGTTTATATTCCACCGTGAGTGCTTGTACAACACACTCAAATATTTTCACATCCTTAATGGATCTTACTGTGTTAGATTTTACAAATGAGCAGCTGAAGCACACTCAAGCCCCATATTCAATACAGTGGGATCCACTTGGCGAAGTGAACATAATTGCAATCAGACTGTCATACAACCACTCGCGCCGAGCTGAGTCGAATGGTGGTTTTGGATTCAGAATTCGTCAACGCTGAAGCGAGATATGGCCACCCGACGGCGATGTTCATACATTAGGCGACCGTCACATAACTCAGAGACCGTCGCCCGACTCATGCGACCGTCGCGTGAGTCTGCTTATATTCGCGTCTATTTTTCAAAAAATGTGAGCGGTACTGTATTTGAACTCTAGTATTAGGGTTGAGAAATAACGTGGTGTCAGTTTATAGAAATATTCAGATTCTTTATGTGAATGCACGTTGGCAGTGCATACAAGAACTAACTACAAAATGCGAAGTAAGGAATATTTGATTTAGGTCAGTTCGGCCGAGTGGTGGAGCAAAAAGACTTCGCCAAAACTAAAATCATCGAATGTACTGCAATTGAGCCGGACACAGAGCGGAGAAGAGGATGTTCTTATAGAGGTGAGTTTCAACGGTTAGAGCAAAGTACCGGACTGTTTATGCTGCTTTATGAGAAACAAGTTTAGTTACCTCAAAATGGCAAGATAGAAGAAACCCAGAAGAGTCAAAATAGAAAGGTAACGCATAAAATAAGTATTTAGATAATATCTGACTTCAAAATTCGCATCGCAGCCAAGGCATGAGGGTCTGTTGTGCATATGAAGCGCTAATTAGCTAACTGCTTCCATATCGCCGCAACCGCTCAGGAAATGTTGGAAAACCGAAAATCTGTTACTTTTGAACAAGTTACTTTTTTATTCCACTTTTCCTTCTCACCTTTCCCCCACCCGCCTTTCAAGCACAAAAGAAGCGCAAACCTGTCGCATATGATTCATGTGATTCTAAATTGATGCGAAAAATGCGCGTTTTTCATGCTACCATAGCAATACAAATGAAAAAAGTGCAAGAGACATATTATTTGATTGTTACGCAGTAAGCTCTACTAGATGGCCTTGAAACATTTGCAAAAAACTACTCAATGAAATTTGAAGAATATCGAAAGAATTTTAAATGTACAAAGATCAAATTTCCGTTTACGAGAGTGCTCCTACGGACCATACCATTCAAATCATTCATATCTACATTTGCCGGTAATTTTCCGCGATTGAAATATGAGATTCGAAAATGAAGTGAATATTCAAAAATGTCGCTTATGATTACTTACACTAAATCTCTTATTTCTATAAAACCAGCGCTTAAAGGCTAGACATTCATAATCGCATTTGCAAACAATTATAGCCTGGTGATATCTATACGGGAAAGATTGGAGGGGATTTGGCAATCAAGACCATAAGCCATAATGATTGACGCACTTTTCTCTGAAGATGGCGTCTTCCCAAAAAGTCAGACAATAAAGTATTTCAACTACAACGGCGCAATATAATAATGAAATTATGTGGAAACAGCCCGCATTGCTTCAAAAGCGTACCACCTCTCACTTTCTCAATTTCTAGCTGTAAAAACGCAAGTGCCATGGCGTACCGAAGGGCGGGAGGGAAAAACGTGCTACCCCGGCGATTGGTCGAGAAAATTCTGAAAGTTATCTACATGAGTTGTGAAAATATGCAGACTTGCTGATACTTGTGAATCAAAATGATTTTTTATTAAAAATTTTGAAATTTTTAATTAGCTAAAGGGGGCTGCCGCCATGCTCCCGAAATTTTTCTTGCGAGCTGCAAGGATATAAGCCCGCAAAATTTTTTAAAAGAATCTCAAAATTTATTTGTTAGCCACAAACCCTTCATTTAATAATTTTTTGTTGTTGCCCCTCCCCCCTCTCCCCCGCTCACACTGAACGGAACTCTTGATATCGCAGATGGCATATAAATGTCTAATGAAGAAGTATATCCCTTGTGCAAGTTGGAGGATCGTGGGATTCAACTGAACACAATCCGATTTTTGAGAGGTTTAAATTTTCTACTAACTTTTGCTTCAAACTTTACATAGATAGATCTTAATGATCTAACACCATCCTCTGGTTTGTTTTGCTATATGTAAAATATATTTCTCAGGCATCAGCTACGAATGCTGATGCGGAGGGCGATTAACGTGAAGGCACAAAAATGAAAGTGTTTGTGCCGAACAATGCCGAAAACAATAAAACAGTAGTAGAGAACACAACTGAAACGATGGCCGGACGTTCTTGATTGTAGCCGCCACGATATAGAGTACGTGATAAAGACTAACTGATTCATTGACCATTGCCTATGGCGGGAACCTAATTCCATCACAGCATCCAACCTTGACAATTGTCACGAAGAGCATGTAGTTATGCACCAATCCTATGGATAAAAAAATTGCGAGTGCTGTAGAGCATAGGTGCAAAATGCTCCCTTGAATACGTATGCTGCTGATCTCAGTTTTCTTAGAAAAAAGCAATTGATTGCAGACCGATGGTAACCGTAAATGAGTCGAGGCAAAAAGAAGACGAGATCAAAATGTGACATTAAAACTACATGAACGATTACATCTACGCTATGTGTTAAATGATATTAATAAAGATTTCTTTGTAATATGGTGAATAAATGGCGCCCGCGTGATCTTCTTGCAGCAGTCATGAGCTTCCGGTACCATAGCTTCAAGTGCTTTGAGAGTGGGACTCAATGTGTAGTCTTATTTCATGTTCTCCGATGAATCACAATCACTTCGATTTAGAATGCATTGCATTTTCCTCTATGAAGAAAGGGGTTCAATTTGAAGCGGGACCCACCACAGATGTATTGAAGTCAAACTAAATCTCGTTTTTGGGGCAGATAGCCCTCGAAAACGAAGTCGGAAATAGGAACATACTAAACATACATCTAACCCCAGACAAGCTCAACTGCTTTATCTTCAGGTTGGTAGCTGACTGGCGTACTTTAATTCTTCCTCAAGGCGCCAAATCTATATATATATATATATATATATATATATATATATATATATATATATATATATATATGTATGTATATATATTAGGTCATTCCGAAAGTAATTTCGCTTTTTTCAAACGGGCGCCACATCTGATGGAACAAAGGTTTCTAAGAGATCTTGGTAGCATTCGAAACAGCATTTCATTATCTTTATAATGGTTATGAAATATTTACAAAACAGTCAATGAGCTTTCAGAAAATAACCAAAGTCTGCGACCTATGCTTTTTGAGATGGTCAAGTTTCAAGATTTTTTAAAACTTTCATAACAATCCTCAGAAAGAGTTCAACTGACGGTTCGATAGAGCAAACCTCATAGAATACAGTTCAACTTTTTCTCTTTTCAATAGCTTGTCATACATTTTTAACAGAATTTTAACTGATGCTACCGATTTCCATACTTGGACAGCTAAATCCCAGTAGAACATCAAACCTTGAGCAGCTCGGGTGTCATTCGATGCAGCTTTTTCTCCTCTTTCTAATGGGTGTTTTTTGCTTCCGATTCGTTTAGTCTCCGGGGATAAAATTATCATAACTCAATTTTTTAGGGAGCCCAAGGCTGTACCCGAAAAACTCAAAATTTGATATTTCGAACAAGTAAACCCTCACTTGCTTTGTAAAATTGATGCCAACTCATAGCACCATCTTGGTAGCCTCAAATTCCGAATAATTATGATGTTTGATGCGATTGTGGTTGAAGTGGGCCTGCCAAAATTCGATGGTTCTGCTGAAAAATCTTTTAAAAAACTACGGTGAGCTACGAGAAAGGGAAAAAATAGCGCTGTATTGTATAAGCTTTACTCTATCGAATCTTTACTTGAACTCCTTCTGAGGATTGATATGAAAGGTTTAAAAAATCGTGAAACTTGACCGTCTCAAAAAGCATGGGTCGCAGATTTTGATTATTTTCTGAAAGCTCATTGACTGTTTTGCAACAGTTTCATAACATTTGGAAAGAGAATGAAATTCTGCATCGAATGCATCCAAGATCTCCTAGAAACCTTTGTTCCATTAGATGTGGCGCTCGTTTGAAAAAAGCGAAATTACTTTCGGAATGACCTAATATATATATATATATATATATATATATATATATATATTAGGTTGGTCCGAAAGTTCTGTCCCACCATTTTCAAAAAATCGTAACTTCTTCCTAACACGATGTTTTTGCATGGATAAAACCTTGCTGGAAAGAGCAATTCATGCACTTTCTAAAACTGCTTTGACTGCTATCTACTAAGCTCTGACTGCAGAGAAAAAATTGGGAAAAGGAAATCACTTCAAGTTTGGATTTTTTAAGCAGGCCCGTTAAAAAATCTAAAACCGTGCCATAAAATCCAAAACAACCATTATCCTAGGATTTCTGATCTCCACTTTCTGTATGAGCAAAACTCGCTGTCGCGGCTCGCGATCGACCGCTCCTCACAGCATGTGGCCGGGAGCACCGTGTTGCCGCGCGTCTCGGTCGTGGGCACGGTCGCCGCGCTTTACGGCGGCTACCTTGTTCGCTCCGAGACCACACCATGTAGGCACGCCCCCAGCCACCGCTATAAATAGCGCGCACGCGCGCCATTGCGGCCCCTCTCGTCTTATCATCTTACTATTATCGTCGTGCCGCCTTTGTTATTGATTGGTTGGGTTTCCACGATATCGCCGTCGTGTCTACGTCCCCGTGCCTCGCGCGATTGGATGGATCGTTGATGGATTATTTGGATGTATGCGCGAGGATAGAATTCCAGGATGATGAACATCACGGAGCGCCTTGGTCGCGCAGGACTCGTTGGGAGCTTGGTTCGATGTTGCTGATTAACATCACGGGGTCGGTGTTGCCGTGCCGTAGCTGCTGCCTTGGCGGCGCGCGGCCGGCCTGTGGGTAGCTCCCTTGGATGCCGGGAGAGTGTGAGAGTGCGTTAGTGTGTGAGTGTGAGTAAGCTAGAGTCCCCATCGGTAGCCCGGGGTAGAGCTTAACTCTCCCCGTGGTAAGTATGTTTATATTTATGTCATATATTTTTCTCGTGTATATTTGTTTAGTAAATTTATATATTTTTCATTGTTTTGGTGCAGTGTAGGCGTAACGCGCCATTGTGAGCTGGCGCGCACCCGCAGTGGCGGAAGTCCTTCGGGGACAGGAGCTGGACGCAAGGCAGTCGAGCACTAGGTGAGGGGGCGCAGAGCCCACCGAGCCGCAACATGGTGCATCGATACCGAGCGCATGGTGGATGGCGTCGCCGCCCGCGGATGGGTTAGTCGCGCAAGTTGGAGCAGAGTCGTGTGTCATCGGTGTGTTGCGTCGTTGTTACGTTGTTGAAGGAACGCGCTATCCCATCCATCATGCGTGCGTAACGAGCCCGAAGCTACCACGCTCAGCGCCCCAGTAGGAAGTCCTGGCAAACAGAGAGGCAGAGTTGAATACCTACGTAGCCAGTAGCAAGAGTGCCGGAAGGTAGCCAGGGTGCGAAGCATGGCCTGTCAGCGCGGGGGGATAGTCGGGAAGACTGTGGCAACTTGCCAACTAGAACCCCAATTGGCCAAGCGCCCACGTCATGCGATACCTGGTAAGCCTGTCGCGCTTGAAAAGTACTGCCCAGGTGGAGGGCCGGTGTCGTAGTCGGCGGGCTCGACAGGGGGTACCGGAGAGTACCAGCGGCCGCACAAGTCGAGTCTTTGGGATTTGGACGGATTGGAGGAAGCAGGATGGGAAGAATCGACAGATGGACGCCTTGATGGAGTACGACTGATGGAAGACGGATGTCAGACAGGCGGAGGATGAAGATGAAGATGGAGGACAGGACGATCGCGAGCGCGCCTGAGTTGTATCGTTGTACGTGCATTTAGTGCTGTATCGTCGAGCACGCTGCGCGCAGAAGACCAGATCGTGGAGGCGCGAAGAAGAGTTGTATCGTTGTACGCGCATTTTAGGACTGTATCGGAGCACGCGAGAGAGCTGTACCGGAGTACGCGCCTGGAGGGTTTTGACGTTGGATTGTTGTTCGAGTGGGAAGCTGGCATGGAGATAGACAGTTCGAAGGCAGACGGATGGAAGTCAAGGAGCGCGATTTAGAGCTGTATCGTCGCACGCGTATTTAGTGTTGTACCGTTGAACACGCTTTAGTATTGTATCGTCGTACGTGTATACATAGTGTTGTATCGTCGAACGCGTTTCAGTACTGTATTGTTGTACGCGCTGGTTCGAAGGCGAAGGACGAGCGACGGACAGGAGGAATCGAGAGAGGGGTATGGAGCTGCGTAGAGCTGTATCGGTGGACGCGCGAAGGTGGAGTAGTATCGAGACGCGCGAAGAACAGCAGCTGGGGGATCGACACCGTCCTATATTCACATATAGGAGCTTGGACCATAGCCGGGGAGACGGGATTCGGGTTCCTTTATGTAAGCTGGGGTTTTATAGTTAGTATTTTGTGTTCTATAGCTTTTGTATTTTTGTGTTTTCTAAGTAAGTTTATGTTTGGGGTTAGATGTGAGTTTGGATTGGTACTAGGGGTCCTTGGATCTATATCCTGTTAGTTTTTCTTTCACATCACCTTCTTTTCTTTCGCTCTACTGTAGTTTAGTTTTCCCACAAACCGGTATTAGTGTCCCCGTAGTATAATTTCCTCTCTTATCTTTTCTTTTAATCGTTATCAGTAACCGTAGTCGCCTTTGGCTCCCGTCGTAGTGTAACATGGGGTACCATCAGGTAAGTTTCGTTAGCGCAAATAAGCGCACTTGCGCTTTCGTTTCTGTGCCCCCTTAGTTTGCCCACCACCCCTAGTACAAGCGGAGAGCAGCCGTGCTAGAAGGATAGGAATTGCCGTGCAGGACGCTGGAAAGTACCATCAGCAGGACGACGACGAAAGACGGCAATTGGAACGAAGCACGGTTTTTAGCAGGATATGGTCCAAGTGCCCATGGGTCATCAGTGATGGCCTCTCCGTTCGCCGACAGGAGCCCTGAGCAGTTTCCAGACCGGCCTCCGACAGGATAACCTTTCCCATACCTTATTATACGCGCGCCACTTAGTGCCGCGCAGGCTCTTCAGTGACACTCTGCCGTTATTCACGCTCTGTTTGCCTTACGTCCTTTGGTTGCCCCGCGGTTACGTACTACACTTCTTTTTTTGTTATTCCTTCTTTGGTGGAGTAGGTAGGGTAAGTTGAGAGGGTCTAGTAGGGTTGTTCGTTGGCATGGGTAGTAGGGAGTGTGTTCTGTGTTTTTCTATTTATAATTATATCTATTTTCTTTAGGTTACCGATGGGTGTGAGTGTTGCCCCCTAGCGCGCCGCGCTTCGTTCAGGCATGGTCCATCTTCGATGTCGTTGATCACACGACGGATAGTATGACAGAGAGAGCCATTGAAAACAGGCAGAATTTCTTACCGTTTTCCATCCAGGTACCGAGCCTCTGTTTTCCTTCTTCTTTTGTTCTGATTTGTCTGGTGGCAGGCCGTTGTCGAGCTTTACGCTCTGTTTTTACTATCAGGCCAAATGTTGTGTTTTTGCGGCGGAATGCCTTTCTTTCTGTAATTTTTGTCCCGTATTTCCCCACCTTTTCTTCAGTTGGGTCCTGAAACG